AGCGAACCTCCACTGGAAAGCTCCGCCGTCACTCACCAACCCATAACCCTATCAATTCCTAACCCTAACCCCGCTGAACCCCTTCCAATATCGGACGACGAATTCGTTGATGTCTACGACAGCTTCACCCCTCCCTCTTCTCCTCCTCCGGAGGCGTCCGAAACGGCGGCTCCGGTTACATCAGTGGAGAGCTCTGACTCTCCCGTTGGAGACTTTCTTTTAAGAATGGGACTTAAATTGAGGACAGAGTGGCTCGATTCTTGCGTTCAAGGACTGCAGAGCTCGGTCCCTAGGTTTTCGACTCTCGATGTTTCTGCAAAAGCGAAGCTTTGCTTTCAACAATTCTTGTTTTCGGATATGAATTATTCCGGAGGCGGTATTCTTCCCGAAAATGTTGATTCGATGCATCTTGTTGATCTGAAAGGACCCTTCGTGTTGCAGGTTCGCTATTTTTTTTTTAATTTCCATTGGCCTCCATATTTGGCTCTGTCTTTATCTCAATTTTGAATATGAATTTTAATTGTCGCAGAATTCTTATTTTTATTCAAAATTATTAAAGGCAAAATATTTGGATTTGGAAATGTTTGTTCTTGTTGAATTATTATGTTTTTAGGTTGATGAGATAGTAAATATTAGTTGTCCGCTCAAGGGAAGATATCAGGATGCGCCTTCTGGGATCAAGAGGTGCCTTAAGTTATCCATGACAGATGGCGTTCAACGTGTGTTTGGCATGGAATACAGGCCTATTAAAGATCTCCAAGTTTTGGCTCCCGCTGGATTGAAGGTTCTTCTCTAGTGCTATTAGTGGTTTTTATAATGTTAATTTTCTTATGTTTGCATAGTTCCCGTTCTAAATATGTTTAGAGAGAATGCATTTAATAATGGTCACCAACAGTAGCATGTTCTTCCTTGGATTCCGACACTTGAAATTAGACTCAATGACATCTGGATGGCTTTTGGCCTTTCAGTATCTGCATTTTTAGCTGAACAACATGGATGAATTTTGATGGTCGAGTATGGATCTTTTCAATATCTTTTCACATCTATTCACAGGGTGATTGTGTGTTGCATTGGATTTAGGTTGTCTGGATGGCTATCTGAAGATAGGTTATGCTGTCTCATCATTTGTGTCTAGAAAATAATGCCTGTACTTAATAGAAATGTAAATGATTCGTCACAAAACCCAATTTCTAAGAAAGAATTTGTTTTACATTGTTCGTCAACATATTATCTGGATAAGTTTATTGTGGCCTACCTTAATTTTTCCCATTTAATTAGTTATACAGTTAAAGGGTTAGTTACCATTTCCAGCAATCAGTTGCCGTCAGAAATGCTGACTTTTGTTGAACAAGGTCAAGTTTATCCTTTTGGTTTTGGTACAAAACCTGGATTAGCCCATATATTTTGGTAGGTTGACCAATGATTTATTCATGTCAACCAGAAAAAAAAGTCTATTAGTCTCTAAAGCTTTGATGTTGACAGGGTACGCCTCTCACTCTGTAGGTTGCCATCTGTAATATACACATCCGACGTGGACTTCTTGTGCTGGTCCCTGAAAGTTTAGAAGTTCTAGGGGGAGTAATTGAGGACTTAGAAGCAGCACGACAGCGTCTTGTTAATGAAGTAAACAAGCCACCTAGGGGTATAAGGTATTATTGAATTCCAAGAATGTATCTATCATTGCTGTTCATGTGCATTACCAAATGTTAGAGACAAGCAATATCACCCCCTGCCCCCCAGGTGTGCATGTGAATTGCCGTTTCTTAACTCCATTGTAGTTTTGCTTTAGTTTGTCGTGTTATCATAGCCTAAATGTTATTGCTGCTAATGGTTTAACGATAAGAAGTGTCAGCTCTCCAATTCAGAATTCTGTGTTTGCAACGTCCTAAAGTAGATAAATGCCGGATAGATGATTTTTTACTGTAATAATGGTGATGCTTGCATAATTTCACAATGTTTGCAAGGATGAAAAATTTGAGTGACACTGGAATGTCCTTTAAGGAGAGCAAAGGATGTAGGCTTTAATTATATCAAAATTTACTGGTTAGAACTGCTCAGTCTCATCCGTTTCGAGTGATTGCACTGAAAACATTTTGAAACTTGGAATGGTCTTACTGCTTTTGAATTGATTTATGACCCTAAAGAAGTTACTTGGTTCATGATACTGTCATTGTTCTGAACCCTCTTTTCTCTCTATCCTTGTGCAGATCAAAGACAGGAGTGGCTCCTCCTTTAGCAACCAGAGCAAGTCTTGCTGCATGGCCGCTGAATGGTGTTAATGCAATTGAACCCTCTAACAATTTGATATCACAAAGTGCAGCTCCCATTCAGGCAGATGAAAGAGGTTGTTTATTTATTTGTTTGTTTTTTAATTCAATTGCAAGGAGTTTGATTTTCCAAAGAGAAATAAAACAAATTAGTATCCAAATAGCATAAAATGGGGTTGAATATTGTATATGTTTGTTATAAATGTAATTTTGAGGGGGAATATTGAGTAATACCTATTTTGAGTATAGTAATCTTCGGAAGCCCTGTTGAACAGAGAATGAAGGTGGAAATTAGTGGGATAAGTAGAAAATCTTTTTCCTCTTAAATTTCCTCCTGATTTTTTTTCTTTCTGCCTGTTCTTTTACAATGACCGGTAGGTTAAATATATGAACTCTAAGAAATTGGACAATCCTTTAGTGGTTCACTTGAGTTTAAGAACTTGAGTTTGACATTTATTGTTCATGAAATGAGAGAATTCTTCTGCTTGGACTTGTCTGAACTTTTTTTAGTTGATAGACCTTAATTGTTTTGCCTTTATTGTTGCATCATTTGTCTATAATCAATATGTGCTACACTTAATCAATTCGTATAACAGAAATTTGAGAGCATATGAATATTTATACTGATTAGTTTGCAAATTCAAGAGCATATGAATTGATCATATGGCACTTCCTTCTTTGACTCTTTAACTTCTTCTTTTCCCTATTACACTTTAGGTGCCACTTTGGATTTGTCTAGTGCTGTTACAACTCAAAGAACTGTAGAGAAGCCTACTGCTTATATTGGTGGGGTGAATGCCATGCCTAATTCATCATCTGATGTTGCTTTGGATGTTGAGAGGATGCAAATTGATAGTGTTCCCATTAGCAGGGAAAATAAGGTGTCAAACTCGAACTCCGATACTGCTCCAGATGTTGAACATATCCATATGGTTGATGTGGTTGAACATCCTCTCATCCTCTCTGGAGATCGAGAAGTCCCATTTACCTACTTAGCTAGTTTGTCAGCCAAGTGGGCTGCTATTAAAGATAAAGCTACATATGTACAGGGAAAAATTAAGGTATCCATAGTTCTCTATTTCTTATATTGATTTAATCTTTGCTGACTTATTTTTTAGCATTGAAATTTCATCTACCTTTTTTAAAATGATAACATAGGATTAGCTGAGAATGCCTTCCATCATAATATTTGGTTGGTTTTACTGACATTGAGTTAACAAGAGACAGAAACTTCTAATATCTAATAGTAATCTTTTTTGAAGTGTTTTTCTTTGTTTTGTTATATGTTTCTTAATATTATTAAAAAATTTTGTAGTGCTTCTTGACTGGTGTGAAGAGTTTCCAGTATAAGCAAAGGACAACTTATGAGCTACTCTGTTATGTTGATGATGGCAGCCTCATCTCTGAGATCCTCATTGATCACAATGTAAGTTCTTGTTAAGGCATCAGAAGATGGATTTTGCAAAGAAAATAGGAAAAGCATGCTCGAGCCTAATGGATGGCTGCTTATGTGCAAATTAGTCCTTAATTTTTTATTTATAACTCATTCACTTTTAGGACTTATGGCCTTTTACCAACAATGCTATGAGCTTGTTGGAACTAGGTATTTGTTAACCTAATCTGTTTTTTTTTTTTTTGAAAGGCGTTAACCTAATCTGTTAGTATTTCTGAATTCCAGGTTGTGCAAAAAGGAATAGGTCATTCTCCGCAAGAGGTCACTGCTGCTCTTTCTTCTTCAGACAAACAAATAGGTAGTGGAATGAAGGAGATTATGAGGCAGTTCCAGACATTTTTAGCACATTTTGAGGTAAAACACTTCTATTGTTTATCAAGTATGAGCTTGCTCTTTTCTTTTATGAGTTCCTAGCTGTAGTTAGGAGGCATGGCTTCCTTGTAAATGCTGAAATTGTCTTTAAGTGTTGAGAATCATTGGTAACTTTGTGGTGACTTACTTGCTGGGTACTTCGTCACATGGAAAAATGTCTTGTCCAGGGAATGATACTTATAGAGATAAACAAAAAGTCTTCTCTTCCAATTGCAATGGAGATGACCCGGGGCTGTCCTGCATCTGATGCACGGTTGCTTCTCAGAAGATTGGAGCCTTCTGCTTCTTCTCAAACTCGAGGGCACCTGCCATTGGATCCCATTGACATATCCCCTTGATTGGCTGCATATCACGACTATGTCTTCTAGGATGTTGGAACCAGTGTTAACAGAATTCGCTACCTTCACTGTGAATTTTGAATTGAATCGCATGACCCCTTTTTATGCGATTAATTCCGGAAATCAAGGAATCGTGGAACTTCTAGGATTTTCTTTGAATTTGTTTCAAAGTCGAAGAGATGTGGTATGTATTTGTTTAGGAAAGACGAAGGAGAGATTTTGAGAAAAAACTGGTCAGAAAGATCCGGATTGCAATGCGTTGGAGACCAAAGAAGAGAAGCGTGGAACCTTCTCTTTTTTGGTTTTAAGTCTTGAAGAAGTGAAATGAGCTGCAAAGATATCAAGGTTGCATTTTAAAATTTTAGTTGGAAAGAGGGATTTGGATTTCAATTGTATAAATGTATAATAGAACTGAGGAAAAGATAACTTTGATGATTATGATTAACTTCATTAATTTGTTAGATTTTTAACCAGTCCTAGTAACTTTAAATTCTAGATGAGATAATGAAATTCATCACCATCTTATACTCGCTGAAATTCATGAGTATGTTAAACTCTTACTTGTTTTTATATAAATGCTTGCATTCATATTCTATTGTACACAACGAACAAAACGCAATTTTACTCCTATTAATGCATGTTTCCAGCCATAGAAAGGAATTACCACTGTTGAGTCTAAGCTTTGCCATAATTTAAACATGTAACTTTATTACTTTCTGCTGCAAGCCTGCAACCTATGTTTTTATTTCAGAAGACAGATGACATTTCATGCCCCTACCTTGGTTCATGGTGCTTTGATGACGATCTTAGGAAACGGGGCTCCCATCCAGAGAGAAAAACTTCTTCACCCCACTGGCTACATCGAATATCTTCTTGCTAGGTACATCCCTGTGGGAAGATCCATGCCCTGTCATTAACAGCAAGCGGTTCCACCATTCTATTATCGCAGGGCAAAACACCTTCCAGATTAATGTCGCCTTGGTGCAAGATGGCACCGTCAAGTAATTCTCCCCACGGCAGGCACTGTCAACTACTGCCTTGGCACACTTCTCACCTGACTCTAATGGCATCAGACTGACTTGAACCTGGCAGCAATTATAAGAGAGAAGCAAAACTGGAAAGTACATCCCATTCCTTTCCAGGACTATCGCATTAAAGAAAGGAGCAAGCTTACGTCTCTCATTTCTCGATCTACTACCAATTTTCCTTCCCTGGATAGGAATTTCCCTTCTGTCATCTCTGCCTTGATCAATCCTGGTGTCACAATTGTAATTCCAATTTGAGTCCGAAATTCAATCCTCAATGTCTCGTAGAAGCTAATGAGTGCTGCTTTGCTTGCCTTGGGCCATTGTGAAGTTAGAATTACTAAAAAAATTAATATGTAAATTATAATCGTTAAGGATACTGATAAGATTTCTAACATCATAGAAGTTCATTCTTGGTGCAAATAACCACGCGCCGTATGATGCTATCACTGTGATCTTCCCTTTGCTCTTCTTTAGCTGTCGCTGTGCAAAATAGTGCTGTAGACTGAACCCCAGAAGTTTATGTCCTGCAAAAAATACAGCACAGAACTTCGTGAACAGAGGATTCGTTAATTTTACTCATTGAGGTGTTAATTCATCTGACACTGAAAAATATTTCATGCGAAAGTATCATTCGTTTATGTTGAATATTTAAGCCAAAATCAAGGTAAAACAATGTTGATGATTGATTACCATAGCCGGCCAAGCTTTAGTGACATCGTCATAATGTTCAAACAGGCAGACAGGAGCAACCCCATCACTGGTGAACAAATGATCCACTGCTACATGAAAAGCCATCCCAGGATGATTGAACATTACTATTATTCAAAGATTCCCCGGGAAAGAAAAAAACACAAAGTATCAACTCTTCTAGTTTTGCTTACAATGCCCAAAGTGGCTTACGGTGGCGCCAACAAACCGCTTACAGTCTCCAATCTTGGGAGAGATCTCCAAGGATGTAGATAGCTTCAGGGGAGCCAATGATCTCACAAATGGCAGCTACTTCTTGGAGACGATGCTCTCTCTTGGCAACAAGGGCTAAACGAGCTCCTCTCCTAGCATGCTCAAGTGCGAGATGCTTCAAAACCACAAAATCAGAAACATTAAAAAACAAGGGAAAAAAATATTAATCAAACGAAGTTGAAGTTTATAGAAACGTTATACAGGGTTCGTCCTCAAACCTCGCCGATGCCCGAGGATGCTCCAGTGATGAGTATCACTTTTCCAATCACACTTTCCTTGAATATGGTTGTTAGAATGGAGAGGAGGGACTTCAAAAAAAGATAATGATGAAGGAGAAAGAAGAGTGCAATAAGGGATATAGTAGCAACGATGGCATTCATGAACTTCCTGATCAAATCCATAGCTTGTAAGGAATGATGAGAAGCGAGACAGAAACACTAGAGCTAGTGATCAAAGTGCGTGGAACTAAATTTCATTGCTTTCAAGGCCTAAGCGGTTTGCAACGTAGCAGTGTTGCATGTAGGGAATTCAACACGTAGCTCTCCTCTGTTTATACTGCCTTTATTTTATTCATTCTGCCCCTAGCTTTACTGAGACTTGAACTGAAAGGTCTGTTGTATACTAGCTAACTCATCTGTATAAAATTTCAATTACTACAAAAGAAATAAAATCATCTTTATAGTTGTTGAATTCAATTATTTTTAAAATTATCTTTAATTACTAACAAATTATTTTTTTGAAAAATATTATTAAATTAAATTTAATTAAGTTTATATTATAATTCAATTACATGTTACATATTTTAAACTTACCTTTAATTTATATATATATATATATATATAACATTGAGATAAATGTATTAAATTATCTTTGAAATTAATTACAAAAGAAATAAAAAAGAGGGAGTAAATAAATAAATAAATAAAATGACCATATTTTTAGTATTTAATTAAATTTTGAACAAATATTAGTGTGATTAATGAAATCTTAATATCAGTATTTTTTCAAAGAGGGAGAAAAGAGTGTTTTTCAAATTAATATGGGATAAGTTTATTGTCAACAAAAACTTAATGGATGACAATTAATTTTCTTAATTGACTTATATAATTTAATATTTAATAGATCACCGCAAACCAAATATTAAATAAATAAATAAATAAATAAAGATGTAGGATTGACCTTGAATTGCTTCGAGCCAACAAAGTCTCATCCATTAGGGGTGGTAGATCGGTCCAGTCACTAGAGGTGGTGGATTGATTCACCTTCAAAATTTCACCAATCGGCTGTTACGGTTGCAGTGCCTTGAAAGGGCAGGTACGTATCCTTGTCAACAACAAAGCCATTCCCATATCTTCTTCTGCCTTGGGTTTGCTTCCAATATAATTGAGGTTGGCAATGGCATCAATTTAATGGCCGTCGTTTCGTCTACTCATAAAGCGCCAAAGGAAGCACCACAGGATAAAACAGCTTAAACAGAAACCCCACAACGTACCAGGACGGTTCCGTTAGGTTATTTGTCTCCGCGGCAAGCACTGTTTACAATTGCTTTGGCGCTTTCATCGGTGGACTCAGCCGGGACAGAGTTCATTTGAACCTGCAAACAATACTACTAATCTATAAAAGTTGAAACATTGAAAAATTAATTCTCTTAAAAAAATAAAAAATGATGGCTAGGTGCAGATCATGGAGGTTTAAAACCAATCCTACTCAGTACTACCTTACATTGAATTTCTCAGCAGGATACAGTTATTATTACTATAAGGAAACCCACCAACCCTATCCTAAAATAAATGACATTTATGATTACTTCAGTGACTAGACTTAGAGTTATTGGAAGTTGCAAAGCTTCTACTCTGAAATTCAAAGGGATCAAAGAGGAGATGATACTTCAGTGACTATAGTTATTCCAATATCTGATTCGAATTCAGCCCTTCATGTCTCAAATAAGCTTATTTGTGCCGCCTTGCTTGCCTGAGACAGTAACGAGAGAGCATCAAATCCATGAAACAGAAGATTTAAGCCACTGAAAAGTTACAAGGTCATAACTCACGTGTAAAAGGTCAATTTTGGAGTAGGAAACCAGCCTGCGGTTGAAGCTACAACAACTATCTTCCCTGGTTTTTCTTAGACGTGGAATTGCAAAATAGGAGCAATATGCTGGAACCCAGAAATTTGTGTCCTATAAGGACATAAAATGGAAACTCTTTTAGTTATAACTATTGGAATTAAAGAGGGAAAAATATCATAGAAAACCGAAAGCTATAATCATATAATTAATCACTGTCATAAGACTCGGATACTTTCAATTTGTGAAATATAAACAATAGAGTACAAATTATATATGTGGATGAATTGATACCATAGCGGGAGCAAATTCAGAGAGTTGACTGGAATCCTCAAACGAGCTGATGATGTGAGTTATTCCAGCATTGCTCACCAGATGATCCACTGCAACACCAATGTCCCATCAAACAAAATACATTCTGAAAATTTGGGCCTTAACTGCCGTGAAAAATGAGAGGCTGCTTCCCTTACGTTGCCCGAAGTGGTCGACTCCTATTGCAAGCTGAAGATGGAGATGATATTTAAGGCTGATTTCAGATTGACTACGTTTGAAGATTAAAGGAGCATAAGAATTGTTATAGTCAAGGATAATGAAAGACACGTGTAATTTTATTGTTGTACGAATGTAAACTTTAATTTTACTGCTTTACTGTTAATAGTTACTTTTATTGTTGTAATTAGTTAAAGTAGTTGATTAGCTAGTTAGTTAGTTAGTATCAGCTGATTAGTTACTTGGATAAATGTTCTTGTAATGACAAACTCAGGAATGAGAAAATCATTTCCTTTACACTGGCGTCTCGATCTTTCCTCTTATTCCTCTGTTCTATTCCTCTGCCGATTTTGACAACTGCCTTATTGACAAACTGTTTGCAATCTTCTGCCTTGGAAACGTCTGCTCGGACCTCGATAGCATCTAGGGACCCCAAGTGGCTAGCTTTTTCATAAACTGCCCGGAGTCGGTCTTCTCTTCTAGCAGCCAGGGCCAAACGTGCTCCTCTCTTTGCGCACTCGTAAGCAAGACGTTTCATTGCCCAAAGCAAAACCTCTCAGGAATACATACTAAAAGATACTAAATACTAAAATGTTTTCAGAAACATAAATACATAATCCTGTGAAAATGAGACAAACCTCTCCAATTCCTGAGAAAGTACAATGCTAATGATCTTGTGAATAAAATCCATAGCTTCTTCTCAGTATCGGAGGCAGAGATTGTGCAATTCAAATCTTGAGGCAACAGGCCAATAGATTCTTAGCAGATCAGATATCTCTGTTTCTTCTCTCGTGCTTATGCAAAATTTTATCCCCAGCTTGCCGGGACCACGATCGATGTGGACCAGGTTTATAACTTAGGCTTGTTTTCAGTTTTTTGGTTGAGATAGATGGTTCCGGCCGAACTCGAATAACTGATTGAAACTTAAATAATTATAGATATGATATTTAGCTGCAAATTATTTTTTAGGTAGATGAATAGACTTTTAAGAGAAACAAACGTCAATAACAGAAATAACCAAATACTTAAAAAATGAAAAATAAATGTATAATATTTTAAGAAGTTTTTAAATTATTTAAAAGAATTTAAATAAATTTTTATTTTTTTATTACGTTAAATCAAATTTCTGTTTTTTTATTTTGAATCAAATAGATGCTTATAATTAACAATTGATTGATCGTAATTAATTAAAATATCATTTGTCATTTTTTATGTTTTGTAAAGCTAATAAGAAGAGTGAAAATGTTATGTAGTTATGACATCATACCATAGCAGTATATCATATCATCATCTATTATATATAACATGTGAGTATGTCATTTCAATATCACTGGATATACAATGACAAGTGACATTAGAACTTATAATTGTTATTTATAAGAGTTTATTTGATCTAAAATAAAATTATAAGAACTTAATTGAACGTTATAAAAAATAAAAAATTTATTTAAATTTTTAAAACAATTTAGAGATTTTATTTAGATACTATGTAAAAAATAAACAACTCATAAGTCTATTTTTTGACCTTTTTGACAAATAACTTGATAAAATTTCAAAATTTTAAAATCTTTCATAAAAAAGATATGATTCGAGCCTTCAATATTGCATATAATGCTAATAAGTGATGAGCTAACTAATGATAACTCATTCGAAGATGTCATTTTGAGCTCGAGATATAAGTATTTCTTTCTTTTTATTTTACAAGCAAAATCTAAACAAAGTTGTTTCCTTGGATATGCTATTGATTTCTTAAACAAAATTAGTTAAAAATTTTGAAATATAGTACTATTTTAAAAAATTGAAGGTCTGAATTGTAATGTTCCAAGCATTCTCTACTTAATGGCTCATATTTAACTTGCCTATAATATGTGCAAGTTTAAAGCCATTTAAGGTACATGAAATTTTATTTTGACACTTTAGTTTATTAAATTTGAAAGATTCAGCTTCCTTGGATTATGGCACCTAAAAGAATTTGTTTTTTAATTTGATGACTTGTTAAGGGCTTGAGGCCAAAATGGTTGGGAATATGAAATCAACATTACATTAAATATTCAAATTCACCTTGACTTCAGCAAATATCACTTTGTTTTAACTCTTCTTATTCTTCCGGATTCCTCTAATATAGGTAGCTATGGTTTGTACATAAACTCCCAAAAGGCAAAGGCAACTCATGCGTGCATTACTTTCATTAGAGCCCAAGGGTTTTGTTTACACTATTGTAAGATTGAAGTAACATTTTGGTTGTACACCAGAACCGACGTATTCCCTCTGTCTATTATTCAGGAGCCGTTGGTAGGGAGGGTAGAAAGAAAAATGTTTTAATCCAAAGATTGAACTACAAAATAGAAGCTAGATAGTCGTATTCAAGCTTCGAAGACAGACTGCTGAAGCACGGGTTCCCTTCCTAATTTGGGATAGCCCGACCGGCTATGCTTTTTTATCGCCCGTCCTTCGTCTATGGACAAGTAGCAAGTGGTAAGCCCAGTCCCATATCTCAGGACAAAGGACCTTTAGAAGATACAATGGCCTAACCCAGAATGGCTCTGTCAGGTACATGTCTCCTCGGCAAGTGCTTTCAACAATTGCCTTGGCACAGACATCCGTTGGCTCGTTTCCGAGGAACTGGAGCTTACCCTGATAGGCAATCAAGTTCAAAGCAACAAGAAAGACGCTAGCTTGTGAGAGAATTATTAGAGCTTGGTTTTGATTTCCAAACAAAGAGCATTAGATCATTTATGCAATTTAACAGAACTGAAAAGCCTTAAGGTATGATTGTATTCGGGAGTATTAAGGAGGTTATTCCCTGTCTCTTGTCTCGGATTACTTCCTTTAGGCCTTACCTTTTCTTGTTGATTGCTTCGGGTCATTTCTGACTCAACAAATCCAGGAGTGACAATGGTTATTCCGATTTCTGGACCAACTTCAATCCTTAATGACTCATAGAAACCAATTTGAGCTGCCTTGCTTGCCTGAAACGCAATTTTTACGAAGTGATCAGCTAAGCAACTAAAAATGGGAACCTACTCGGCATGTATAATACAGAAGCAACTTGTTTACAGCGTAGAAGCTAGCTTTTGGAAGGCCGAGCCAGGCAGAAGCTGAGGATATCACAATCATCTTCCCTCTCCTTTTTCTCAGGTGTGGAAATGCAAAATGGGTACCGTACACTGAACCCCAAAAATTTATGTCCTGCAAAGAAACAAAATTTCGTTTTGAAAGGATATTTAAATTTGGTTTAAAACGCAGATTGAAATATAAGCAGACACATGGGGATACCATAACGGGGACAAAATCAGATATATTGCTGGTTACTTTATATCGCGCGGTAGCAACCCCAGCATTGTTCACCAGATGGTCCACTGTTGGATAAATAAACCCAATCAGTTAACAAAGTAAGGTCTAATCTCCATTAAAAGCTATGAACATGGAATTAAGGAGAGAATGAAGCTTACACTGCCCGAAGTGGTTCACCGTCTTGTCAACAAATCGCTGACAATCTTCGACCTTGGATACATCTGCAGTGATCACAATTACATCAGGGGACCCCATCTGTCGGGCTCTTTCAGCTACTTTTTGAAGACGATCTGTTCTTCTGGCTACGAGGGCCAAACGAGCTCCTCTTCTAGCATACTCATAAGCAAGGTGCTGCAAAATTCGAGAAATATGATGATAAAACAAATACATATGTTAATCTATGAACATTGAGTGGAGAAGCCGGTGGCCTGGAGGTACAAACCTCACCAATGCCCGAAGATGCTCCCGTGATGAGTATTACTTTACCGGCAACGTTTTCTTTGTAGACAAACCTTTGAATGGAACAAACAAGCTTGAAAACAAGAAATGGCGGTAAGATGAAAACAAGTGCTATTATAAGTAGAGGGGGAAAGACAATGTTCATTAGCTTGTTGATTTCCATTGTGTCAACAACCACAAGAACAATAGAGAAACACTAGTTAACTGTTCCGTGGCCAAATGAATAGGGAAGAATATATAATGTTTGAATTCTATTTAATTATCAATAAATATTTAAGTCTAATGTCAACCCAAGAGTCTAGCATGCTCGGGCCGTTCTATTAATGGCGGCCGTTAGATGAAGAAAGTAAAATGTTCAGCACGTTAGGCCACTAAAACTAGAGCCTATAGGAGGCCGTCGCGGATGGAAATCCTCTGCCCCTATATTTTACCCCTTTCCCTTCCCCGTTCATATGAGTTTGCCGCGTGTCTCTTAGGTTAGGGTCTTTTTAACTTTGTTTGACCATATGAATAACGTTAGTTAATGGCAGCGTTATTTCGAGGTCTCTACAGTTGTATCTTCAAAGAAAAGGTCCTTGATGAAAGCTCGGGAGCTTGGGGAAGTTAGTGACTGCTGCTTATTCCGTGGCGAGGAACAAGACTTAGACTACTAGGTACGTGCTTCGATGTATGAACAGAGAGAATAAGAAACCTCCTCTTGCTGTCAACAGCCAGTCATCTATGATTGGCACTGGAAGGAAACCTGGGGCAAGAAGAGTTAAAAGGGTTTGAAAATTGGACATTAGATTTTCTATGAAAGTTCTATATCTTGGCTTTTTCTTTTTAATTCAAGAAATTTGGAACTCTATTTTATTTTGAAAAAATTATACAGGGAAAGATCGAGTGCTTTGTCGAGTTTTATGTTGTTTTGTAGATTTTGATTTTTTGAATTGCTGTATTATATTTTAGGTTTTTTTGTTATTTTATAAATTTTAGTTTTTTTGAGATTATCGCGTGTAAACTCTGCAATTTTCTGATTTGCAATTTGATTTCTATCTCTCTCTCCCCAACTGAATCTAACACAAAGTTATACAACTTTTACAACCTAAAAATTATTCTATTACAACCGAATTTATAAGTTCAAAAAAATCAGCCGAAAGTGAAGTCGGCGATAACTAACGTTTTTAATATGGTTAGGCAAACTTAAAAAAGGACTTAATCTAAGAGACATGTGGCAAATAAATGTGAACGGAACAAGGAAAGGGGCACAGGATTTCCATCCGGCCGTCGCAATCAGTTCTTAAACCCAAATTCAATTCATGTCACAGTACTAACACAAGCAGAAAACTCGATTGAATTATCAGTTGATTTAATTACCAAAACTGGTGATGCCTTTTTTTTGTGAGCCTACCATGGTATGGCGTGGCACTTCTCTCCACCATTAGAAATAGATATTTTATTGACTTTAGTGTTTGAAGGAAGTAAGATATATATATATATATGATATGTTAATTTTCAAAATTATCTTTATTTATAAAAATATATTTAAATACAAATTTTTAAATATTTCAAACTCTATAACTTAAATCTATAAATAGTAGCATGACAATAAATATTAATTATTTAAATTTTAAAAATGTTAAGTTAATATATTTATATTTATTTACCCTAATTCCTTCCACAAATTTGCAATGATTAATTTGATATCAAAATTAAGCATTGTACAGCCTAACATAATAATTGATATTTTTTCCCTACAAATCCGTCCTTTACAAAATTTGGCAGACTCAATAATTAATTTATTAATAATTAAATTTGTATTCTTTTTAAATTAATTTAATTAATTTAGGAACCCTAACCGCCATCTCCCTTTCTCTTCCTTTTTACTTTCTTTGGCTAAATCCTCCTGTTTTCCACGTGGTTTCTTCTCCCATTCTCTTCCCTTCTCTTCTCTTCGTTTCTAAGGAATTGGCCCAACATTATGTGAGCTGGGGTGTCTCCAGTTGTCTGCTTGAGAATGCAAATTTGGAATTAGCCAAGCATTTGATCTGCTTATGCTTGTAGTTCGTTTGCAGAGACAAAAGCAGCGGCATTTCGGGTTACCGGAAGATTTGGCAAGGTATTATTATTCCATCGTGTGCTTTCAATTTGAAGAACCTGTGTGTAGGAAGCAGCAATGTTCTTGATCACTGTGTTCTTCTTTATCAAATTTATACTGCCAACATAATCTCCTAGACTCTGACCCATTTGTTCGATTGGGTTGAAATTCTGCAGCAAAAATGGGAAAGTAATTCCATCATTAGAAGAATTAGGATTCCTCCATAGATGGGAAGATACATTCTCACAAATATAATCATATCAAACATGAGAATATTACCTACTCATTTACATTCCAATCTCAAGAATGTAATTGTAATCAACATTGGACCTTAAATTCATTCAATATTAAGGTTTGAGTGTAAAGTGTAAACCACAGATTTGCCACTCAATTAATGTACCATTTATACCGAATGGGATGATTGGTTTTGTAAAATTACTGGTGATTTTTATACCTCACTGTAATCCTCTATCGCTGAGGTGATGGATTCCAACCGCACCTAAGTTTATCACTAGAAAACCAGAACATGCCACATGTTCTCTTCATTTTCTTTTAAAATTCATCCACCTATTTCCCTTTTAACTAGCGTGAAGCGCCAAAGGAGATCTGATAATCGCTCTCTGCATGTCATCTTCTTGGCTTCACAGTGGAAAGATGAATACAAGTTGGTGATTGAGACTGACTCGAGTAACGCGGTTAAATGGATGAAAGCACCGAATGAAGCACCATGGAGAATGAGGAAGCAGTTTTTGCAGATTTAGAGATTTTTGGAGAAGCTGGGCCCTTGGGAGATAAGGAACATCGAAAGAGAGGCTAATCAGAGAGCTGGTAATCTCGCAAAAGGAGTCCATCTGCAACCAGGATTCCTACGGGTCTTTCAGTAAAAATCCCCTTCTACAGTTAGCGTCCTCTTTCGAATGTGTCATGGACGGTATTTCTGAATTCATGAGTCAAGAGGTTATGCGTGGGGCACTGGATGCTGGACGGAGAGTTGATGTCAGTAAGGATTTTGTTGATGGTTCTCTGGAAAGGGTGAATGCTGTTCAATCTGTTGACTGGTTCTGTGATGGTCTCGTGGTTTTGAGTTTCGTTTTGTTATGTCCCTAAGCTTTAGGACTTCAAGTTGGAAGTTTCAGGTTTTTTGTCGATTAATCTGAAGAAAGGTTCAGAGCGATCTGAGGAGATGTTTTTGTTTTTTTTTTTTTTTGAACAGGGTATTGGGAGTGTATACTGTTACAGGTTAAGAGCATACCAACCAATGTTCTTGTTGTTATCGCCTCAGAGCTAAAGAAGTCACGCCGACCGGGTCAATAATTACTCTGAGACCTCAACACCGCGAGAAGACACACTACTCTCCCCTAGCATACGCCACTTTGTCAACCAGATCATTACAAAGCAGTCCTCTAATCATTAGATAGTCAAAAACTATATATAATACCTGCAATATGTAAGAGTTGATATAAGATATAAAAGGTGGAAACAAAATAAAAATACCAGGCGTGCTTCTACATATAAAATTAAATTCTCTCCAACATAAGACATTTCTAATTCCAAACAAACATAACATCTGGGTTCTTCAACTTTAGTTTCATATGCAAAATCGAGTTAAAACTCCACAAGCCACATCAACACTGGTCCCTTTAGTTTGCTAAAACCGAATCGCTTAAATCTTGAACAAACGTTCATTCCTTGGAACAAGTATTGTTGTTGCTAAGATGTTTTCTTTGAAGACCCAGGTCTGCCAACCAAGGTTAAACGGCAAGCCCATTCTAATAACTCAGGGCAAAGCATCTTTAACAACGGTCCCACCCTACACCAAGATGGCTCTGTCAAGCACCTATCTCCACGGCAAGCGCTTGCCACAATTGCCTTTGCACACCCTTCAGCTGATTCACCCGGAATAAATCCAACTTGCACCTAGCCAGCGATTAAGAAAAATTCCATTTGTTTTTGATATACATCAAAAAAAAAAAAAACAATGGGGAAAATAGAAATCTCGCTTACCTCTGATGTATATGCCTCTCCTTGGACCATATCTGTCTCGATTAAGCCCGAGGTGACAATCGTTATTCCAATGTCTGAACCAAACTCAACCCTCAACGTCTCGTAAAAGCTAATTAGTGCAGCCTTGCCTGCCTGAAGCCATTGCAGAAATGCAAGTGATAAGGAAAATGAAGAATCGATCATCAGGAGCTGAGTGAAGCACATGGAGGAGATATCTTACATTGTAGAAGCTTGTCTTTGGCAACGGCGCCCCTCCAGCAACTGAAGCAATCACAATGATTTTCCCTTTGCTTTTTCTTAGGGGTGGAACTGCAGAATGGGTTCCGTATGCTGAACCCCAGAAATTTGTGCTCTACGAACGCATTATATATATATATATATAAGAGATATTTTATTTTCAATCGATGATATAATGTGAATCAGTAAAACGGATCAATCTCGCGGACCATTTTTCTGGGGAAATTTGTGTTGTATTGATTATAATTGGTTCAGTGTGACAGTAGCTAATAGGGAAAGCACAATTTGCTCAGATTAGCATTCTACCTTATAAAGCTATCCTTAGATATGAGAGACAAGTTTAAACAAAAAAAAAAATATCCACATTATAAAAAATTTATAAATTTTAAATATAATATTTTTATTTTTTATTAAATATTTATTTTTTTTATGATTTTCTTTAAAATTTTTCATATTAAAGAGTATTGAACATCCGTATTATAAAAAAAATTTAACATTGTAATATAACTTATATCAAAATTAAAACTTTTATTCTTTTTGTGAAAATAAAAGAGTAGCAAATATTTTTCAAAAAGAGTAATTTTGGAGTTTTTTAGTTGATGTTTATATCTTTTCGTATGAAATTCATCATTTAATCAATTATTACCAATCAAAATATAATATAAAAATTAAAATAAATAAATATAAAAAATCAATATTTATAATAAAACTTGGGTAATAAATATTTGAAGTAACCACTATTCGAAATAAATTAATAAATGTAGGACTAATGAATTTTAGAGTTTTCCATATATTGGGTGAGGCATTGATGTCTTTAAAACCTAGATTAGGGTGTAGACAAGGTTCGTCCATTTAAATAAATTAACAATAAAATATTAAAAGAATTTATATTACTATTTGAATATTTTTAAATATATTTTAAAATAACATAAAATAAAATAAATATTTTTATTAATATAATAACAACATAAACCATGTATCAGAAGAAGGATCTGAGTGAGGTCAGGCCATGATGTTAACGAGCGATCCGGCTCATAAACAAGTGACTTGACAGAACAACCATGGGTCATGGCCAGAGGCGGAGGGGGGCGGGCCTAGTAGCGGCCCCCGCCCCCACTAAAATTCCAAAATTTATGTACATTATTTTATTATATTATATTTTAAAATTTTTAATTTTTTTTAATTTCATACTCTCAAATATTAAAATTTTCATTTTCACTCTCTTAAATTTAAAATTATAATTCCGTCACAGCTCATGGCCGTTTGTAAGTATAGTGACATTGAAACAGACAAAATGCTATGAGGCTAAACCAAGTTGGTGAGTGGACCTGGAAATATACGCCCCACAAATTCCCAAGGAAGGGCAGCCGCTGAACTAATTGAGGTTTGAGGCCATCCATGCCAGACTAAAACCCAATCAAAATAGTGCCAAGAACAAGAATTGAAGAAAAAACAATTTCAGTCCTCATGTTCAAATCGAAAATAGCAGCCAAAGCCTCCTTTCCATAATTAAATTGATCAATACACCTCTCGTCTCTATGTACACAACGGCCAAATCTTTTTCCTAATAAAAGCTCAAGTGCTGGAAGTTAAAACGTACCATAGTAGGAGCGAATTCAGAAATTTGTGTTACATCTTCAAACAATCCAAGTTTAACAATAGCAGCATTGCTCGCCAAGTGATCCACTGTTGCATAAATTAATCCATGAAACCGCATCTTAGATTAAAGTTTAAATACCAACCATAAACCCACGCATAAAAATGCGCAGATATATATACTTCCATCGTCCAAAGTAGTTTACAGCTTTGTCAATAAAGCGTTTACTGTCTTCCAGCTTTGAAACATCTGCCGGGATAACTACAACATCTGGTGACCCTAGCCAACGGGATTCATCAGCAACTACGCACAGACGATCTTCTCTCCTAGCATCAAGGGCTAAACGAGCTCCTCTCCTCACATACTTGTAAGCTAAGATGCTAACACAAACGATAAACAACATGCATGCAAGAGCAAGGTTCATCATTAATTTAAGTTCTGTGATCAATAATCTGATTGACAAGGGATATAGTGCGTGATGTTTTCCTTGCACAAACCTCACCAATGCCTGAAGACGCGCCAGTTATGAGCACAACTTTTCCTGCTACATTTTCGCTGCAGAATATAGCTAAAATACTTGAAAATGAGATATGGCGGCAAGAAAAAGAGGAGCAAAAGGATGGCTATAGCAGGAAGTGAAATGTTGATGAGCTTGTGAATGAAGTCCATGGCTTTTGCAGTTCGCAGTTGAATGGAGAAAGATGCTCCTTGGAGGACCAATATAATAACACTAGTAGAATAATCAATGAGTGGAGAAACGTGAAAGAGACAGGATTTTTTGTAAGCCGGCAGTGGAGTCAGGAGAGCGGAGAGGGGATTACTTGAAATAAAAATGTCAATCCTTAGATAGCGTTTGTTACATTATAATACAATATGATTACAGGGAAAATAACATTACAGT